TTTGAATAACCTTAGTGTAAAATCACCTGTTACAAAAACAATAGAGAATTATATTGTTAGAGTAGGGTGACCATACGTCCCGTATTATACGGGATTGTCCCGTTTTTCCACTTTGTGTCCCGTTGTCCCGACAAAAGTTATACGGGACGCATTTTGTCCCGTATTTTCAAGTAGGTCTCGTATTAATCCCGTTTTTCTCTTTATTGTTAATTTATAATTTTTTTATTTTTTTTTTTTATTCTACGATATTTTTGTATCACAATATTCAATAGAACATCTAATCTATACTTATCAGCATTATTTTTAGATTCTTGTCTTGACAATAAATTATTATAATTGCTATGGGTTGAAAATAGAGAACTAATAATTATAAATACTAATGAGAATGGTATAACGATAACGTACAAAATGTTATTAATATTATTAATTATTATATTGATGTGTGACGTCGTCTACTAAATAAGTACAATTCCGTCCGCCACAACCAGTTTGTTGTCAAATATAATGTCTATTTGTATTTTATAATATCTATGTAAAATTATAAATATAATTTGTTAATAATATGTATACGTGAGTGTCGAGTTCATTCACACTATTCACAGTGTAGTCGTAGTCGTAGTGACGCAGTGACGTGAAGTTTATTAAGCTTATTAAAAATTCATTGTGCCATACTACCTAATTTATTTTTCAAAATTATTTCTAAATTTACGTGTCATCGTCATCAAAATAATTTTTTTTGGATTTTTGTGTATATATTATAATTTGTTTTTTATATTAATATGTTTAGTTAAAATTAGAATTTCCTTTTTTTTTTTTTAGTTAAGTAACTAAAGTGTCCCGTATTTTTATTTCATTTTTATGGTCACCCTATGTTAGAGTATGGCATATCGATTTGTCTAAATATTGTATCAAAAAAAAACAATAATATAATTTAAATTTAAAATAATTTTTTTAATTTTAAAAGTCGAATACAAAGTGAAATAAAACCGATATGTCATACCCTTGAGAATATTATCATCTATGATTTTTGCAACAGATGATTTTACTCTAAGATTGCTCGAAAATGATTTTAGATGAAAGCGTTCTTTGTTAATCTGAAAGAAAAAACAAATATTTTGCTGACTTGAGGCTGTAATACGGCTAAGATTCTTGGAGATCCGTAACGTACCTACATGCTCTCAGCCATACGTCATTATAATTTGCGATCAAAAAAATTTCAACAAATGTACGAATAACGACCAGCTTTCAACAGCTTTAAGCGTAAAATCATATTTGTTGTATATAAATATTAAAGATAATACCTGGGTATAATATGCAGTACTCGAATTGGAAAAATAAAAGAAAGGAAACTCAGGGACTTGAAAAAAATTAGCTTTACTTACAATGATTAATCTCGACCTAGGTTGTCAATCATCCATTTTCAACAATAGATAGTTGATATATAATATATATATAATACATTAATATATCATTTCTAGTATAACATTTACCAAGTAAATATTATAACTGACCCAAGTATTGAAAGTATGGAACAAACCATTTTTTTCTGAATAAAATGAGTCTGAAAATTTGTTCCTAACTTTAAGAGGACGCCACACCCGCATGTGTTGTCTCCGTCTTACAAACACTTCACATACCAAATTTACGCTCAGCAGTTCACATTTTATGTCGTTAGCTTAAAAATTAGAGTAAATCGACCTATTATGAAACTTGATGATAAGAACTTTATCTGTGTTTTGTTGGAAGTTTTTTACGAAAATTCAGTTTTTAAGCGAGGTATGCTTGTATAATAAATGTAAATTAAAAATGCTCATAACTCACTTAAAAACTGAATTATTTTAAAAAAACTTCCAATAAAATATAGATAAAGTTCTTAACATAAAGTTTCATAATAAGTCGATTCACTCTAATTTTTAAGCTAACCCGGCTAACGGCATAAAACTTGAACTGCTGAGCGTAAATTTGGTATGTTACTCGTTTGTAAGACTGCGACAACACATGCGGGTGTGGCGTTCTCTTTACATTTTATAATATTTGTTGAGGCTATAATATTTATACATTTTTTAAAGAATTATTTATCACTACTATATTCCATTAAATTCTATGTTTAACAATGAAACAAAAATATTTTAGGTAGCTGTTAAAATTTGGCCAACATGTCTATTTGATTAGTGACTGTAAGTACTGACTACTGTGTATTCGATTAAGTATGATTTCTTTTAATTTTAATAGTTTACTAAATTCATATACAATGTTTATAATGCGTTTTGATTGTTAATGATGATTGGTGCCAGTGGAATAACTAGAATTTTTAATACCCGTGGCAAAATAATCCAGCAGCTCTTTAGTCTTACACATTTACAGGAAGTAGGTATCAGGAACATGCACTCACCCACCAAATGTATCTCTAGATCTATCCCTGCTTAAAAGGTTATAAGAAATTGATGCCTTATACAATTCTGTAACTTATGTGTTTTCAATCACAATACTTTGTAAGCAAAATTTTAAAATATTTTATAGGTGGCACTCGTATATCTAGATTATAAATTATTCATAACATTTTTTTGTTGTATCGCAAATCGCAATACATTTATTTTTCCATCAGTGATTTAAATTTTTTTTAAATATTATGTTTAAATGTTTTAGTATTGTATGAAATGTATGTATATATTTTTAATAATAATAACATTTATACCCATAACATATACAGAAATCTAAATAAACTAGATTCGAATAAATACTAAGCGTCTAAGCATTTGAGAGTTTGAGACTAGATGGAAGAACTATCAACAATATTTACTATTAACTTTAAACATTTATGTTTAACATTAACTGTGCATATTTTTATAATTTTAAGTAGGTATTATAAAATCCCAATCATGAATATTACTATACAGACATATATTTACCTAGTATTTAAAAATTAATACCTTCTCACTATATGGTAGTCAGTGGATGGTTTGATAACGCTTTATAAATATAACAATCATCACCATTTGGAAATTGTTGATTATTAACAAGAGAATTTTTTTTAAAATTTTAAATGTCTTCGAAAAGAGTAAAGTTTGGTCTCACAGAAAATAAAAACCAAAATTCAAATACTTAAAATTGGAAGAAATTATAAAGTATACTCATCAACTATTATATTACTCAAGAAAAAATTATAAATATAATAACACAATACCGATAAAAAATGTTAAAGTTATTAAGTATTAAAATATCAAAAATTTTATAATCTATGCTAAGCAAGAATATTTTGGTTTTATGATGTATTATTGTATAAATGTGTGCTTTTTTGTGTATATATTAATTGGCTACATTTTCTGGTAGCAATGTATGTAAAAGTGTCATTTATAATGTTTATACTTAATACTTAATTTATCAGACATTTCCTCTACTAGGCCGGTACTTTATATTACACAATTTTTTGAAATAATCAATTGTGTTCTACACATTAAAATCATATATTTATGTATTTTGTAGTTTCGAACGTTTTTATTAGTTTCTATAGCAAAAAAAAAATATAAATTATACTTTATATGACTTATTTAATGGTCTATTATATTGTAGACATGTACCTTATTGAATATATAATATTATAATATAAATACTAAAAATATTTGCCTCAAACCAATATTTTACACAAAGAGCGGTGCGACGAAGTATCTTTATTGAATTAGTACATAGGTACATTTATTAGAAATTATCGGTCTTGTGGTGGAAATGAGGTTATGAGAGGTCAAAAAAGTATGGCTCCGGCGGCATTTCACCTAAACACGGTATTAGATGTGCAAATTCTAAGTAACCATCACAACCTACAATACGCTTTTTAAATAATAATTGAATAACACAGCAATAAATGTACAATTTTTAAACCAGATTTGGACACTAAAAAATAATAATTTCCTGAAAATGATTTACCATATCAATTTTAGAAAAAGGTCTTTTAATTTTTCTACTTTGGGTCAACTATACCCATTTTTAATAGAATAACTAACCTTAATTTATTATGTATTAACTTAATTAATCTAAAACAATAGCCCAACCTACACCTAACCATTCCACAATTATAACAATTTAAATATCTTCAACAAGCTTATATTGTTAACAGATAAAAAACTAATCTATAAAATACAATCATGTGTCAGTCATTATTCTAAATAGTACATTTATTATATTTTAAAAGAATATAATTTTTTTTTTAAGATCATAATACTTCTACATTTTATAATAATAGTGATGATCTGTTTTTTTGGATTTGTGACATTCCCAGGACCCTATGGACTCTAGAGCAGTGAAGTCCATTCTTTTATCCTAGGCTTTGGTAAACAACTATTGTTGAGTAGGCCACCAAATATAAAAATACAAATAAATTCAATCTTAGACTAATAATATAATTTTATGACACATAGTATATATTGGACTTGTTTCCTAATCTTTTATTGACTGTTGAAATGATTAAAAATTTAAGTTAAATAATAATTTTACCTTTTACTACATAGAATACCTTCGACACAACTGCTGTGAAGTCATGGGCTTGTGACTCAATGCACATCATGCCACCTTATTAGTATACCACAGATTACATTATGATGAAACTACTGAGTAATAACATTACCTAACCTATAAAATGAGTAGAAATATAGTTAATAGTAAACCATTATAAATCTAGAAATGTAATCAGCAGATAATAAATAAAAGGTTAAATAGTGTAGTAAATTCATGATTTTTAAGTTAGGTAGCTGCAGTAAAAATATATTGTTAGAAAAATCAATGTGTACATAAATAACGATAAATTCGAACAATAATATTGGTAACTAAATATTAAATATAAAATGTCTTAAGAATTATGATACATTTCAAAAAATAAAAAGCTTCCAAAAAATACATTTATTACCATTATTTTTAAATGCGAAATAAAGAATTCTTTAACATTTAATTTAATCACAATATAAAACCCTGGAAATTTAAAAGCAATACAATTAATACGTTTTTGAACATTAATTAAAATGATGTGCATACAAAAACAAGTAAGCACACACATTTATTTGTTTTATCCTATAAAAAATAAATTAATACAAATGATAACTACTAACTAGTAATAATAATAATAAAATACTGCCATATTTAAAATTACATTATTTCAATGTATACTTTTACAAAGTAACACAGCGAAAATTATTATTAAGTACAAAATTGTTCTTTTCTTTCAAACAGTCAAAAATATGTAAAGATTTACCAAATTATCACTAAATCAGTCATTGAGAATAATTGACATCATAAAAAAATCACAAATTTTTATTACAGATGATATTGTTTTGTATTAAAATATGAATATCCTTTTAATTTGTATTAATGAAAATATAATACAAAAGTTACACCATGCGACTAAAACAAAAATTAACAATTTCAAGATCTTCAAAATACAAAAATATAATTATAGGCAAGTACTTTGTAAATCATTATAGTTAAAAAAAATAACATGCAAAAAAGTTTTATGGCATGCAAAGTAAAATAAAAATAAAAATTAAGGTATTTTACATATGAAAGTAATGTATTATAATAGAATGTAAAAAAAAAATTAGTTTTTTAGTCTTACAAAAATATGTATTTTCAATTTAAGAATTAAATATTCAAAGTATATTTGTTCAGTAATTGATTACTTAAGTTGTAAAATTATTTGGCACAACAAATGAGAACTGCTAAGATCTTTATCATTTTATCAGTCATATGAAAAAAAAAGGATAATGATAATCAGTTAAATAATTAATAAAATAATTAATAGTCATAATAATTTTGGCAACTGGGTGCAGTTTCTAAAAAAGACCACAATCTTTGAGATTATTTTTGATGATCACATCAGTAACAGCGTCAAAAACGAATTGTATATTGTTTGTGTCAGTGGCGCAAGTAAAATGAGTGTAAATTTCTTTTTGGTCTTTTCTTTTATTTAAACTTTCAAATTTCATTTGTATATACGCAGCTGCTTCTTCATAATTATTAGATCCTGAAATTAAATTTAAAATAAGTAAATAGCAATTCATGCAATTTTTAATATGTATATTTAAAAACAATATATTTACCCATGTATTCTGGAAAACAAGAATTTAATGGACTTCTTCGAATTTTTTCTTCAAACAAATCTTTTTTGTTTAAGAATAATATGATTGATGTATCAACAAACCATTTGCTGTTACAAATTGAATCAAACAATTTCATAGACTCAATCATTCTATTCATTTCTTCATCTTCAGCTAATACTAAATCATAACCTGAAAATAAAAACAGTATTTAGTTAAAGCTAAGAATAAGTACAAAGATGTGAAAATAGGTTCATGTATTATAATAACCTGATAGAGCCACACAAAATATTATAGCAGTAACACCTTCAAAACAATGAATCCACTTTTTTCTCTCTGATCTTTGACCTCCAACGTCAAACATTCTACAACACACATTTAATTTATTAAAATATTTGAAAAAAATAATTTAAGATATTGATGGGAAACCATATCATATTGTTAGCACAAAAATGTTATAAATGGTATTAGAACTAAAAAATAACTTCTACAATGTAATCATAAAAAACTAAATACTTATAATTTTTTGAAAATGTAAAACAATTTTAAAAAAATTGGTATTTTATTGTTATACCTACTAAAAATAAATTATTGTATGTTGGCATTAAAAAACAAATTATTATGTGCATTGCATTGGTATAAAATGTACTTTATATTTTATGGCTATTTTACAGCGCAGCTAGATATTTTATATACAATTTAATACTATCAGAAATAAATTATATATATTTATCAGAGACTTTATATTAATAGACAGAATATAGTAGCAGTTACACCACATCTTACAAAAAACCGAACCACAAGAAATATGAGCAGTAGCAATGCATCCATATGTACAATACACAATTGCTGTTTTTAATTATCATTACTTCTAAATTCTATTACCTAATACTAACACAAATTCTCTTGGCTGTACTACTCTAACCCACCAACTTCTCATGATCCATCTATTAGTATAAGGTCTATGATATTTATATACTATATAAAACAAAAATCAGTTATAATAAAATATTTTGATATGAATATAAAAACATCAAAAATATTAAATACTTAAAATATGCACATGTCTTGGTTTATTACTGGGTATACAAAAAAATGAGCGTATTCAATTCAATAAACAAAAAAAATGTACGTATATTTTATAAATCTTCAGCACAAAGAAAAAATGATGTACTTTGCTATATCACTTACTTAAAATTCAATCCCTTAAATGAAAAATTTGTTTCAATAATACCAGTTGTCTTCACTCTTGTCCGCAACACATCCTGTTGTGTAGGTACATAATTAGGTAGAGATATTCTATCCAAGGCATTTAAATAATAGGCAGCAGAATCGTTTAGTTGATATTCTCTCGAGCGCAAAAAACATTCTTGCACACCAGAATCTGCCCATAGTCTTTTCATAAGTTTAACTAAATCTGGAGTCAGTTCACCTTCTTCAGTAGCACTAGCTAATGAAAAAAATTGACGGGCATTTTCCTAAAATTAAACATTAATTCACAATTTTTAATTCATATTAAGAGTGAGTATTATTATGATCTTAATTTGACATTTATTTACCGTTCTACTAGGATCTGAAAAATCAATTCTCAAAATTCCCATTGCTCGTATAATTGCCATTAAACTCTGGATTGTATTGCTAAATACCACAGGTCTATACTGTTCGCATTCTTCTTTAGAATAACCTGTCTCATGAATGATTTTCATTTGTTTTACAATAGTACTTTTTCCAGATTCACCAGCACCTTTTACACAAACAAAAATATATTAAAATCTTATAATCATTATTTTATTTTTTAGGCATGCCACTATATATATTATTTGAGAAGGCACACTCTCTAAGATAATACGACTCTCTAGCTTAGCAATTTGATAACATAGAATATTAATTAATAGTATCATCAACTGCATTGTTACGCAAGAAATAATATTTCTAATAGTCAAAAAAAAAAACCATAAGGTAGGTAGGTAAATTACAATTAATATTCTGATGTTTAAATTTAAGATTAGCATAAGAAACACAATACCTAAGAATCTTTATTTATAGATGCTTATTACATATTTTATATTACATGTAAAATGGACCACAATCATAGACCAAAGTTAAAAAATAATAATTCACAACATGAAATATTTAAGTTAATATAGGTGCAAAGATATTGTAATTTATATTTACCTTTTATTTATATTTTTTAAACAATAGACCTGAGAGTGTACCTATTTTAAAATGACAATTAAGTCCTATTGAAATACTTATTTCAACCCAGGTTCAAATTTTAAACATTTACCTAAATAAAGATTAAATGTATGGAAAGAAGAATAACCAATATTTAACAAAAATAATATTATTTTAACACTTGAAGTTCAATTTTTAACAATATTCATCAAAATCACAAAATTTTGCAAATAATTTTGTAGTTGACCATTTATAAAAATCTTAAATTTTTATATCTACCTAAGGCCTTTAATTGTAATACAAAGTTTTTTTTAGAAAGTTATCAATGAAATTTAAAAATCTTAGTTATTTTGTTATAATTCAAAAATATTATTAGTGAGACATAAAACTTTTACTTATATTATTGCATTTTAAATAAGCAATGAAATTTTCGAAATGTAGAATGAAAAAATCATGATAATAAAATATTTATTACAGATTATGACACAAAACAGAAACCATAACTACTATATCTGCTTGAAATAAGTATTGTAAATGGATATAAGTATTAAATTAATTTTAAGAAATTTACTGTACCCGATGGCTAATATTATATTTAATATATGTGCTACATCACGTAATATCATTAATAACTGAATAATTTATAATAACAATATTTTATGATTTCTGTCAACACAAATTATAAGGAACCTCTTACTAAACTTTCAAACCTTTTGAATTGGCAAATAATATTTATCAATATAAATATAAAAAAAACCATTGTAAATGGCTATAATTGGGTTAAAAAGACTTATAAAGGTTAAAATAGGGGTTAAAATAAGTAGAAAATGAGTATATAAATATTTGGAGAAAATGTCTAGTCTATTTGGGTTTTTATTTATGAATTTAAAAAAATAACAGTAAGTACCTATAGTCTAGTAGTATAGGCTGTGATAACCGCGGAAGAGGGGCAGATGGTAATCTTTTTTTAATAATTTGAAATTTTAAAACAAAAATGTTTTTTTGTTAATTTATTTCTACGATTAAGTCAAAATAGTGAAATTTTAAGAAATTGTCACATTTTGGTAGAGGTATAGGTCAGTCATGAAAGGATGGAAATACCTTGCAATTGGGATTTTAATTTTGTAAATTTTTACATCATAATGAATTAGATAATCAATAATAATTCTAATCTAATTGGTACATTGTGGTATGGTTTAAGTGGTCAAATGATTTTATGTTTGATATTGTAAGTGTTTATGTTTGTTCATAAGTGATTCAATGCCGTGCTAACTAATATTAGTTATAATTCATATACATCTAATGTTAGGAGGCTAAATTGACACCTACACCCTAGTAAGCCATCTTTGAGCATAGGCACCTCAACATAGTCATAGCATTAAGTTTGCTGTGTACTAGTTGAGTCCTAATTAAAAAGGTAAAAAAGGAATATTACTAAATGTGGCCCAAGTTTTGTTTAGAATGTCCAAATTGCTTACCGACCACCTGGTAACAGGTGAGCATTCATTTAAACAACTGTACAACAACTCAATTGAATGAAGAAAACATTTTAAAACAGGTAATGACGGATTTTCAATCAAAACAATTAGCAGATGCTAATTCATAAAACAGTAATCTATTAAATTTTAACTAATTCGATAATATTTTTTTATTTATAACAATTACAACTTAATAAATCACAATTATTGCTACTGACAGTCATGTCCATACAAAAATAGAAAAGGAAATGATTTGTTTTTATAGTAACATGATGCAAAGGTAAACAAAAAATTTTGAGATGCCATAAGTATGACAAAAAAACAAAAGAGATACACAATGAAAAATGAATTGTTGTTTTTTGGGACGCAATTTGTATGCTGCTAGTAAGTTAATTTTATAGTATCACAACTGAATTACATGGAAGCAAATAGTCAATTTAATTATGTTTATATTTATATTGTAATATAAAATATGTAATTACTTAATATAACCAATCATTTCCCTAAATAAACTTATTCTTAACCATAAAATATGTGAAAATGATGTTACCTATTAATGATTATTGAAAATTATCCCTGAAATTATTTAGCGTAGGTTGAAGTTAATAAATACAAATTTGAATAAAGGCAGTTGGCCATATCTTTCATAATATAGGTACCTCCTATATTCATTCAGACAACTTGTAACAAGCAAGACTCTTACTTGCAGTTTATTTTATTGTGTTAAGTACTTGAAACTTGAAAACAGCTAGCAGGTACTACGATTAGGTAGATACACATTTAAATTATACAAAAATTACTACCGATATTCCACAATACCGATGTTCACACAGCAGTGGATTTGTACAACAATCATCAAAATAATAATAAGTTGAAGTGTTCAAAAATCTATCTTATGTCTTTAATAATTTTATTTTGTAAAATATAAACCTTTAAATTTTAATTGGGTAATACAACAAAAATATAATTTTTCACCCCCCCCCCCCTCCCATCCAAAATAATTGTTATAATCCATAATATGATTAAGTAACTGTAGTAGCTGAATGAATTGATATTATGACAAATGTACAAAACCATTATACGATTACTACACGTCTACCGTGGAATATTTGGGTTAAACAAAAATATGTAGGTACCCATGGGTAGAGACAACGGCCGATTTCGACTCACCTAACAATAACAGTTTCACTTCTCTCGCCGCTTTCTCGCCATCGGCTCGGAGCGACTTGTCGATTTTCTTCGATCGCTCCACCGCCTCCTTCTCGCCCGAACTTATCGTGCACCCCATCGTAGACGAAAAACGGACGTAGCAAAAACAATGATTTCAAAAACCGCACCAGGAAAAAACAAAAAGTGCGCCGGACGGCAACGTAAAGCGGTTCGAAACTGGAAAATATACCGACCGTCGAATCCCGGATTCGCGAAGACGATGAACGGTTAAAATAAAAAGAACACAAACCAACGGTGACGGCGTGTGGGGAAGAAAAAAACAAAATATGCGAAAACGATATTATGCACTCCGTGATTACTGATTACGGTTTGTAACAGTCGCCGTGATGTAAACAGTCGTTATCGCAGTGCGTTTTCGGCCGATGCGTCACGGATCACGGTTGGGCCGACGCGAATGACGCCGTATTTCCCCGATTTTTTTTTATCTGCCGCTTAAATAGTTCAATTTATTTACTATTCGAATGTTATCCATTCGCACCGCGGTACCGGCGTATTGTCTCGGTCGAATCCGCGAAATATTCTGTGTTATTATTTTACTCCCTCCCTCCCCCCCCCCAAACATCCCAGCCACAGAGAATTGCGCTGTTCGTCCGAGACATGTTCGTTTTCCACGACAAATCCGTCTCCACTCTAGTTTTAAAAGTATCGGCATTGGTCAGCGCGGGGTATTGTTATTATTTTTTTTTGTCTTAGTCGTCGTCGACATTTCTCTCGTGTGACCGTGAAGTATTGAATACTTCGTAATTATTCATTGCCGTTCGGACGTCCGCTCAACGCTCAGACAGTCAGACCAAAATACCAAAACAAAAAAAAACATCATCCAAAATTCCAAGCGATTAACGAACTGTTATGTTCCGCCGTTTCGGTAAATCTGGCAACGTCGCCCGAGCGGTTTGCCCTTGCCCCTCCTACCGCCACGGCAACGTCGTTACCGAAACCGTAAACGTAACGGCGACGCTTACTGTCAAGTCGTAACGCCGAGCATCGCTGCCCCTCGTTACGAAAACGATGGATGGTTTGTCGAATGCGCGGGTGCGCTTTATCAGTCGTGTGGTGGATTGCCATCTCTCTTACACCGGCAATCCTCTTGTAGTTGACTGTGACGGCACTGACAACCACGACAGAATAGGTGAAAATCTGTTGATACAGCATTACAGCTCAAGTGATAGGAATTTTAAACCTCCGTTCCTGAATGGAAATCACCCGTTGATAGTCACTTATTTGTATCGTTGAATGATAATCGTGAGGTGGATTTTAAAAAATCCACTCCGCTTGTTACAAAATGTACCAACTATATCGTACTCATTCCCGATAAACACGAATAAATGTGACATTCATGCGAATTGTTAATTTTTTTGTCACTACACCTAAACTTTATTTGGTTCTTGTTTTTACTTGTTTATATGTTTATTTTTTTTATTTTCTGACTTATACTTGTTTTTTAACTTTTATTGTTTTTGCATAAGCACTACTCATATTTTTATATTATTGGAATTGATTTAAGGTAAAGTATTCAAATTGTGTAGTAAATATTTTATACTATTTAATCATAGAAACATTAATATTTCAATGCATGATGTAGGTACTGATAGTACGGAATTATAGGAAATCCGGGGTACGTACTTTTAATCTGGTATTATATAATAGATGCAAACAAAAACTTATATATCTGCTGTAGTTGAACTTCAGTTTTACTAAAATTTAGGTATTTCATTGTTATGTTGAATTTTTTTAAATGTGTGGACATTCGTACCTTTGTAGTAATTATTATCAGAGTTTTTTTTAACATTTAATATTTTCAAGTTTCCCACTTACATGGCGTCTTGTGAAAGGAGTTTTCATGCCTAGGTGCTTAAGCACCAAGAAATATTGATACCATCGCTCTGTTACAAATTGAAAAATTTATTTTGTCAACCGCCGAGTTCAATAACAGTGTCAGTATGTTACACTCTTGACCTAAGATATTAGTCTCTAATCAGATATTAAAAAGTGAAAGTACACACGAGCAAAGCAATCATCTAAATATAACTTGATTTGTCTATGGAATTACACTAATGCATACTGACCTACATAAGTACAACATTACAATTAAATTTAAACTCTTAAAAAAATTAATTTTATTTCTACGATTAAAGCACAGATATTAATGCACACTACTGAAATCTTAAAATGTGTAATAACAAAGAAAATATATGTTTATTTTTAATTACGCCAATTTACTATATTAATAAATAGGATGTCGGCTTAATATTTGTTTTTTCTTTCAGACTGTTTTTTTTCTATGATTTTTGAGTAATTCTGTAATTTTGAAGTAAAATCACCTATTACAACAATTAAAGAGATTATGATTTTTAAGAGTCTTAGTGTTCCAAACCTTCACCAAAAAAGGAACCCATTTAGTCAGTCCCTTTATTAAGGCACAAACAAGTCATGCGTTGCTTTAGGGCTGCATACAGTTTTAAAGAAATTGTAGGTGGCAGAATTATATAAATATTGATGAAGAAGAGTGACGTTAAAAATGATTGCTTTAGGGCGGAAAATATTATAACTATGGGCCTGCCTTTGGATTACTCCCACCTTAGACCCCTGTCTATATTATTATTTATTTTACAAGGATCATTAAATTTTAATTGTAATTGATATTACGTTATGTTAGGTAGGTTATGCACTTCATCACAGCTTCAGGTTTGCTTTAATTAGTTTATAATTAATTTTATCACTAGACATTGCAGCATACTAATTTTTTTCTTTTTAGAGGTAAATATGGCCAAGAAATCAGCATTTTTAGTTTTCTTAAATTGTCATAGGATTGACGAAATTAAGAAAGGAAATAAAAATCCATGCTTTAAAGAATTGTCTACTAAATTAACACCTGTATGGAATGTAAGTCATCTTTAAATTGACCCTATTATGCAAACCAGGAGTGTTCAAGCTTTTTATATATAAATCTATTATATATTTATATTTTATTTATTCACTCTATTAAAAAAAAATCATACATTTTTAATATACCTTATGGCTTACCACTTTAATAATAGTATCAAATTGCTTTAGTTATAAATTATGATTTACTATTTAATTAAAGTTTTGCTACTCCTAGTATGGTATGGCTCAGGTAATGGTTTTTATTAAAGCTAGTTTTGACAATTATTGTTTTTTAGGCTATGAATGATAATGACAAAAAAATGTACAAAGATCTTGCTCATGAATATAATTCTAGTCTAGTTGAAAACCAGCCGATAAAACAAATTAGTGATGTGCAGAATTATAGCAATGATTTTTGGAACATGCAGAAATATTTAACTAAGATGTTTGAATGTATACCTAACCATACAGGTAAGAACTATCATATTAATTTATATTTGTAGCTGAGTCCTATAAATTATATGTATATAGTAACAGTCTGTTCACCAAAAACACAATTTCTCAGTCAGATCACATTGAATCTAACTTTTTTTATGTACCGTAAATGATACTTAAAAACACAGCTATAGAAACATTTTATATGGTTAAGTCTAGAAACAAATGTAATTGTTTTTTAATTTGAGATGGTTCTCATTCGTTCAATTTTGGTTCCAATTATCAAGTTACTGAAGCGAAATGACTGAAAAATACAAAAATAGGTTACTTATCATAATTAGATGTTGTGATTTTAAAAACTTGTACTGGGTATGCGCTTACTGAGAAGGTTGATCATTTTAAATGTTACTAAAAATGCGAAATTGGTACCATCACTTTAAGCTTGTCAAAAAAGCCACAGTTAAATAAAAAGTAATCCAAACTAGAAGTTGAATGTTGTTTAAATCAGTAAACACTAGACATACAGCTTATAAATTATAATTAAGACTACCATTTATATGCATTAACAATATATTTAAATATACAACAAATTTACCAATTATTTCCAAACAATCATTATGTGAAAGAGAGGAATCTTATAATTTTAAAATGAGATGGAAGTTGCAGGGAAGTTGCTCTTAAAGATAATGATAATAATTAATTTAGTTTAAATTAGGAGCATAATATGAGTATTTGACACAGCATTTAACTTGTTACTTTCGTTGAAATATACCATAAAATCAGGCATGGATAAATTGAGGGAAAGGGGGGCACATAGAGCTCCTACTCCCCCCTCCAAAAAAAAAAATTCAATTATTATGCTATTAGTACCTTTATGTAAAAGAGCGATAAAAATTACTTATATTAAGTTGGTCCACCTATTTTTGCATTTTTAAGTCTTAATAATTCAAAAGTCTTAGTAATTCAAATTTTGTTCATAAGTCCCACCAACTTTGAATTATAAAGTGTGAACTGTTGTATGAAAATTGGAAATTTAGCTAATAAAAGTTCATCAGATGTCAACAGCAACACTCTTAGTTATTGCAGTGAGTGAATCCTATTCTTTTGTCAAGATTCAAAAATTTTAATTAATAAATAAATTTAAATTTATTACACTCTGATAGTCTGATGAATATATTGATTTTGCAATAATATTTTTGTGTGTGTACAATTAGTAGTCTATTAATACTTGGATTTTTAACCTCTGAATCTTTTCTGGTTGTAATGTAAATCTTGTTAGTGCATTTCAGAGGCATTATTTAAAATTCTTAGTAGTTTTCAAATGTGGAATTTTTATAGAAAATCATTTTTGTTTTTTTGTTCTGTTAATGGCTTATTATTGTTTGTACCCGGCTCATACAATTGATATGTAAAAATAAAAATCTAATAAAACATAAGATGAATATTCATTTGTTTTAGTATACAAATAGTGTATTTTTTAATATTTATTATATTTATGCTATGTTGCTAAAAAAATTGATTAAGTTAACAGTTCATAAAAACTACATAGACTTTTCAAAGACTAATAAATAGTGTTTGTAGTCATAAAATGGTTTTTTAAATATAACTTATGCATTTTTTGAAATAGCTTATCAAGGTTAAAGGAGAATGAGAAATAAAATGAACTGATTTATTATGGTGTGTATTACACTATAAATAGTATTCATTATATTTATGTGAATAGATATATATAATTAAGTTTCTTTCATATTTTCTACAATATATTGTATTTTATTATATGAACATAAGTTTAAGAATTATTAGTAAAATAATTTTAATTTTTCAGAATTATTAGATAAAAAGTTTTTTTTATTGCACATAAATTGTCATACTCTCGATGAAGAACAGTATTATTTTCCTGCTGAAATAGCAGCATTAGAATTTAGTTTAAAAAATGGTTTATCTCGCACATATCATCAAGTTATTGGTATTTGTAAGTATTTAAAATATTATAGTATTGTTCAGATAGGTCCTCTAGCATAGGATGTTACAACTAAATATTTCAGTATATGTGAGTATCAAAATGTTTCATTATACGTTTATTTAACAAATGTTTCAAATATATTAATTTTTTGTATTTTACATGTCATCTGTGTTATGGCTGTATGTAAATAATATGTAAATGATGGAAGTGACCATTGAGAATCATATGAAAATATTCCAAAATTATTGTGACATCCTTGAAATGTATGTCTTTATTTTAATTTTTTTTTTTTCCAAAGAACATACTACAAACAATTAGAATTGGTACATATTGTTTTTAAATATAATACAATTGTAAAAATTCACCTAATGATCAACAGATTTTAAAAAAAATCTTATTACCATAAAGTTATAAATAATGTTAATTTGTTTTTCTGTTTAAATTATTCTACTTGGCAACCCCCATACTAAATAGAAATGTCTATTTTACCATCTTTTTTCATTTTCGAGTAATACAATGCCAAATGCAATAACTTACAATCATAGAAATCATCAATTCTTTTCACATCAAATATTACTAAAAATAAACACTTACAGTTTTTTTTCTTAGTTGATAGTGTCTTTCCGGAGCTTCAACCTTCCACAATTATTCAATTATATGCCAGCTAACTATTAAAATGTCCAAGTTATTTGAAATGACATTGAATGGTTAAATAAATGAGAACCATTTTTATGAATTTATTAGGTATGTTTTCATAATATGATGCAGAGTAGTCACTTCCCTCTGGAACACGTTTTTTTGTTTTATTCTATTATTAAATTTAAACACCACAAAAACTAAGTTTTGCTTAAACATTTTTATAGTCAAATATTATTATTGTGTACTCTTATGTACAATCTATACTAGAGGGCCTATAAATTAGTAAAATTAAATTTTTTATAGCTAAAATTTACCCAAGAGGTTTTGCTGGAGGCATGAGAGAATTTTCTGACAAATTTCATCAAATTTCATGTTTCAATGAACATCCTGATGATTATCAAAAAATATTATTGGAATTTTCAACATTTTTAAAGGTAATATCAGTGCTTTAATTAGGGGTTTGAATGCTCAGTTATACGAGATCCCATACTATTATTATTTATTTTATTAACCCCAACTATTGTTTTTTACCAAAACAAGGGTGCCCAACCAACTTAGGCCTACAATTTTTTTTATTGAAATGTGGATTTAAATTGTAAATGATATTACCTTAAGTATTTACATTTTTTAACATAAAAAATATTGCCTTTTCTGTGGCTTTGACTGCCTAATACCTTGCTATTTTTAGTATGACTTGTTTATAAAATCAAGCTCGCTTTTTCCTAGTGAAATAGTGCAAAGATATGTACAATAAACTGTTGTGCAAGTTTGTTACATTGCTATCAAGAAAAAAATTATATTATAATATTTAAAAAATATCTCTTTTAAATGATTGGATGTACTAAAAGTAATTGAGAACATTTCGAAAAATTGGGTGAATTTAAATCCGCAGTCACATTGTTCACATATTATATTTTGAATACAATATTATCAAGTCTGTATATAACTAAACTGAAAATATGTAGTATTCAAAATTTACGAAGGGGTCTGTGTTAAATAATTTTGCACTTAGAACGCAGTTATTAAATCGTTCAATTGAGCTCCTCTAATTCATTTTTCCCAATTCAAGCACTGGATAATACAATATTTTTAAGTTTATTTGTCAACTTTTAATTGTATTATTTTAGGATGGAGTAATCAATCAGGCAGATTTACAAGAGGGCACATTGGACTTACCATATTTGTTCACTACAGAGACAGAAGTTGGTACAAATATAATGAATACTAAAAATAGCTTGGAAAGACTTTACTGTATGGCTTTTCCAAAAGGTAAATCAAGTGAATATAACACAATAAACAATAAACAAAAATGTAGTACCCTTCTTAAAACTATGCCACCACTCTGCACACAGTTTAGTCCGCTGCACAAACATTTGTTGTATACCTCTTACAATAGTTTAACATCTAATTTACATAATGGTAAGAACATTATCTGTGTTTGTTTGTGGGTTTTTGGTAATATTCAGTTTTGTCTGTGAGTCATGAGTGTTTTTAATTTACTCTGTATTAAATATGAGAAAAACTTGCTAAAAAAATAAGTTTCTTATAAAAATACTCATACAAACACAGGTAATGTCCCTACCATCAAGTTTCATTATACATAATATGTCGATTCACTCTGATTTTTAAATTAAGAGTTTAAAGAGCTGAACATAATCTGCTGAGCGTAAGTTTAGTGTGTTACACCCTAGTACAATGGAGACAACCAATATCTCTGTAGCATCCTCTTCATACAAGTGTTAAACCTGCAATAAATTAATTTGTTGTTAAAATTATTGATCTTAAGCGTAAATAAATAAATTCAGTTTGTTGAAATGGAGATATTTTTTAATTATTTTAAAATAATGTCCATAGTTGAAAATAATACTTAACCTTTTCACTGCTACACTAGTTATGCTCTGCGACCTGTGTATGATACGTATTTTCTTGGTTTTAAATTTTAAGATCTATATAATTTAATTATTTAATTTTAAAATAATGTGATCCTGGATTTCCAAAAAATGTATGGTTTCCAGCAAATGATAATATTATAAAAATATAAAATGCATGTAATAGATAATATTAATTGAAACATTGAATGGTGTAAATGTTTTGGGCGTAATAGTACGCCTGGGGCAGTGAAAAGGTCAAAAAATACATTAATGTAGTTAAGGTAGAATAAATTGGTATACATAACACTAGTTCATTTAATTGTATATTAAAGGTTTAATATATAAATAATGATTTGCTACAAATGTTTTACACATTAAAACAAATTATGTTTTACTTTTTTTTTATAACCTACCTACTTTTAAACTATTGACATGTTTATAATTTTTTATAGTTGGTGCTGAACGTGCTAAGTCAATATTCAAAATAGGAAGTACCGAGAAATTATTGTTTGAAATCCAAAGAAAATTTAATCTTCACTTGGATCCACAAAATTTAAGATCCGGAAACTCAGTTTATGACATTTTAGAATTGGATATGTATGGATGTGGTCTTGGTTGTCAGGTAATTTTAATTTGAGTAGGTACAATATGGGTTCTACAATATCTGAATAAGTAAGTGTGTTTTGGATTTAAACAGTATATTAATAAATATACATCTTTTAATGTGGTGCGGTATCCTAAAATAGTATCTTTCATTAAAAACCATGTACACACGGTCTGCAAAAACTTGGTACTCCATATAACTCAGTTACCTACATTAATCAGTGTCCTGTATATATTTTAAAATTCTATCTGCAGGAGATTGATGATCCAATAGTCTAGTTTCATGTCCCGAAACAGAATTCAAAAATATGTGTAGGGTACTGTAAATAATATTAAATTATTCAGGGTACCCTGTTTTTGTGGACACACTGTTTAATATGTTTTGGTTAATATACATTTCATTATTTATTATACATTGCAAATATTATTTAATGTCTTATCATTGAATTCATATTAAACACATCAGTGACCTGAATATACATACATTCAAAATCTACCATAGACCAGAGCGAATTCTCCAATTTTTTTTTATTTGTAGTACCACGAGATGAGAGATATTGCATATAGATGTTCCAAAGCTCGTATTTTGCAATGGATGTCAAATATTTGCAAGTACATAAGTTCAAATGTGTATTTAAGACTTATACCTGGCAAACACGTAGCAATTGAATTACAAAATGGTTCAAAATTGGTATTTATATAGTGCTTATTGTTTTTACTGTATTACCATATATTTACTATCCAATGTATTTTGTATTGTTTGTTTAAGATGCTTGAAAATTCGCTCTTACCTCTATCAACAACAGATTTAATACTGACTAACTATACATGATTATTTTCATTGATGATATATTGTACGACTCAAAAAAATCATTTACTCTTACACAAACACAACTAGTATTATAATTAGTACATACAGATGCCATATTTGATTTTATACACATACATTTTCAACCAAAGTTATATTTTAATATATCAAATAAATATATTTATTCACATAAATAATGTATTGACAATTCATAATATAGTTACCATTTACTATACGACCTTAAATGTATTAATATTTCAAGAATTAATAAAAAAACATGACATTTTATTTACAGCTATGCGTACTAAAAATGTGTCACCCTTATAATAAGTTAACAACTTATAATACTCACCCCAAAATACTCTAAATATTAATTTAATAAACATACCTAAATACATGTGAATTTTTATTTTTTAGACTATTTTATCTCGCCTTAAGTTATTTAGCTTACGTTTTAAAAATTTCACAATAATTTTTATGAATTATGAACCATTATTAATAAAAAAAAATTGTTTTTGAAGACTAAGTAAAATATTATAATTAACAACATTTTTTATAATACTTTCATTTAGAATAATAGGCATTCAAAACACATGTTATGATAAATATTTTTGTGAGTTAACGTCTTTCTTTAAAAATTTAGTAGGGCCCCTAGTACCTTTTGGTTGATTTGTAAAAAATACACACTGGACAAATGAAAAGTAATATATAATTATTGCCGACTCAAGTTTTTGATTATTGTTTTTGTTACCCTTTGATCAAGACAGGCGTTGGCTACACCGCGGAGCTCATCATGTTAAATTTAGTATTATCAAAAAATGTTTTCTATGCAATGCACATATTACATACTACTTTTGGATTAATTTTACGAATTAATCATGACTATAATTCATAATGAATGAAAATAGGTATACCATACACATAAAAACAATTTACAATAGAGTCTTTATATGCTACTCCGGACAATCTATATTTCGTACTTAAGTACTCATGTATAATGTATATATTTAGGAATATCTATGATTAAGGTATTATCTTAATAATAACAATAATAATTTGTAATGTAAAATTGTGAATCAATACATTTTGAATTTGTACAACTACTTTAGGTGTTTTTTGTTTATATTTATTACTAAGTTAAAAAAAAACGTCTTTCCATTTAATCCGGAGAGTCCAGTCCCATCTAGTCCGAATTAACAAGACTACTGTATATACAAAAATATAAACATTATTATTTATTGTACAATTATTTTTTGAGTTAATAATTTTCCAGTTTTTCTTTTGATACGTATTATGCATTTTAATTAGCATTACATAATTTGCCGCTCTAAGGAGCTGCTTACACTGCCTAACGAGAAATACGCCTGTGATTATCATAAAGCATATGATATTATATTAATATGAGGATGTGCCAGTAAACAGGAATGTCAATAGACCAAACAAAATACTATGAAAAAATTAGCAAAATTTTTTAAATGGAATATAAGTAGACCAAAAAAGAGTGGTCACATTAATAATTACTAATTAGTTTTATTAAACCATAACAATACTTAATATACCTTAATAATCCTAGTTTGAACAACTGTGACTTGTATTATTCTATGATACAATAGCTCCATGAGGCTACATGTGATATGGAAATGAAAATATAATACATGTTTACTGTACGTCACATGCTAATATTATGTTAGTAGACAATAAATTTAATTTTCAACTTTTATAAACAAATAATCACTGTTATTGAAATGTTTATAAACGATGGTTCATTTATAGATATTGATTTATCAATATTATAACAACAAGTAGTTTAAGAGTTACAGCTTCAAGTATAGATGGATCTACGGCATGTGATACATTACATTAATACACATTTGTTGAATTTCAATTTTTGGTTGGTAAAACTGCAATTGTTCAGAATAAGTCTCTCAAATATTGATTACATGTATTTTTACCAATTGTTACTTTACATTATTAGTGAAGTCTTCATTTATACTTTTTAAACTATTACTTCATACTTATTCATCATTATTATTAAACTATATTCAATGTTATGTTGTTGACATGCGTCTAATAGTGGTTGTAATTATTTTAACTAAAAAATATTTCCTCTTCTCAGAACCTACGCTGTGTTGATAATAAGAATTAAGTAGATTAACAATCAACAAATAATACTTATGGTATTTCATTTAAGTTATTGAAGAATTTAAAATACGATTGATATTATGAGTTAATACTACTATTATGATAAAATTCTACTATTATAATCAAAGTAAAATTATAACTAGTGTTATGTTAGTGTATTTATTACTAGACATAAAATATTTTATAAATATAATATATTAGAAAACTCAACAATAAATTGTTAGGTATAATTAATATTTACATATACAATAATATATAATTTATTGTATGTAGCCATTAGCCGTATAGGGGAATAATAAACCATAATATGTTATAAACTTATAGTATTGGTTAGTTAACACGTGTTGAATACTTAAAACATTTTAACTTTTGTGTATTGTATATACCGTCTTATGGAAAGAACTTATGAGTTAAAAAAATACAAACCAGGTGAATTTGGTTATAGCTTCCCCTCTATATTATACAATAATTATTACAAAAAAAGGCTGGGCATACTAATATATAACTCTAGGTCCACTTATGACCTTAAGCATTTTATTTATAACAATTAATAAATAAAGAAATGTTAAGAATAAATAATTGAATCAGTCGCTTGATTTAAATTAAATTAAAAGTTATAATAATGGTGATCATAAAAAAAAAATAATTATTATTAGTAAAAACCCCTTAAGGCTGGGATTTCTATGCATTTGTATGTTCTTTTCTTGAGTTCAAATTGATTGGTTGTCAGGTATGTCCATAATTTAGTTTATTCTCAATTAAATAGAACAACTTTTTTTGTATATTTTAAACATAATGCATGTAATTGGGTAAGTTAATTTTTAAAAATCTTATGAATTTTAAATGGCATTTATTTAATAAACGTCTATAATTTTTAAGTTGTTTGTATGAGTGTCATACATTTACTATCTAATCTTGGACAGACGACCAATAGGATTACCTGTACATCATTTTGGTTTTTCATTAGTATGACAAGTTTTACTCAATACAAATACATTCATTGTTCCAAACGCTGGTCATTGGTTTGTTAAAATATGAAAGAACACTTTATTACAGCAATAGTCAATGTAATAATAACTTTATTACTCTTCATAATAAATACTAATATTATAAAAATTATAATTTTTAGCAACTACTAAATAGAATATTAAATGTTATGTAGAAATAGTTTTTGCATATTTGGATAAATAAAATGTATATTTTTCAATTTTGTATTGCATTTAAATCCTAGCCTTATAAAAACTAACATGTTTTTACAAAATTTTAACCTTTTAATCTTTAGATAATATTTAGTATTAATCTATTTTTATTTATATCATCAAATATATGAAATTATCAAGTAATACTATAGGCTGATAAGTGATTGACCGTCTTTGCTCAAAATCGTTTTTCGTATAAATACAATGTTTTTATATCATTGAACTCAAATTTAACACCATCCATTACAGTGACCCATTTATAATCAACTGTGTAGTAGAGTGTCACCCACTTACCCGCTTTTTTCATTGAGTAAATAGTAAATATTAAAATTAAACTGACAGCCATTCAAACTGTTCCTTAAAAACTATTGCTTAGCAGTGAAAAATCCCCAAAATCATTGTCTCCGACTAATCTAAAATTACGACGACACTTAAGTATTCAGTAAAATATACATGTATAATTATTAGGTATCTTGATTAAAAAGTAACTATAACAAGTACCTATATCAATTTAAAACGTCATCACTGAGTAGACGATAAGGATACAAAAATGTATCTAAGGGATTTAAGCCCCCCCCCCCCCCGAAGTACTTTTAGCTAGTATGGCTTATATACTAAGATCTTCGAACTCGTTTAATATCAATTCAAAATGAATAAAGAATAATAGCTCACAATCCACAGTAAAATGCTGTAAGTACGTTGCACACACATATTAATATAATATAACAGTGCCAAGGATATCATCTCAATAGATATAACTTCATGAGACAAAACATTGTGTAATTTTTACTTGTTTAGTATTACCTAAGTAAAAAGTGATTATTTTTGTTGTAAATTGCCTATACCAAACCCCTTAAAAACGATTGTGTATCGTCCCCTTGGTAAATCATCAACTGAATTAAACTCTGTGATCAACAAATCAATTAGGTAGGTATTGATGATATAAAATTATTTTATTATACTTTAATTTAAATTTATATAGTTGAAGATAATCAAATTGTTGAATTGTTCACATCATTTAAGTAATGAGCTAAGTACTCATGTTAACCAAAATGCAAGCATTGCACCTGTAGATCCTATATTGTAAAGAACCTAATTTGATAATTTGGTATTCAGAATTTTAATTTACACATTATTCGTTTTACGTTTATCGTTATTAAATAGTTATTTAAAAAGTAAATAAAAAAAAATTAGTCATACATACCTATTATATATGATTGATCCTTTATAGTTTATACACTAATATAGGTATATCTTTAATGATTTACCTAATTCGCAAAATATGCATAATTATATTGATTATTTAAAAAGAAAAAATAGTTTTTCTAATGAACGATTGTAAAATTTTGAGTTATGATAAATATTGAAGAAGTTAAAGAAATTAAATTATTAACTATAATTGAATAGGTTAAGTACATTTGACGGACAAAAAAAACCAAATATTAATATTCTTATTTTGTGTGCGTGTTTTTCGTTCTTTTACATACCATTCACACGACACACCAATAATCTCTTACTATAAGCACACATTTACAAAACATGCACACAGAAAGAAAATTACAGATCTTCATTGAACTCTTTAAAAACGGTCAATATTGAATCCCATTCATAATTTTAGGAGTATTATAAGTAAAATATAAAATTCGTATGAACGCTGTTGTTTGAATAAATGAAATATAAGCACGATAGAGAATTTTAGTTAACGTCAAAATTTAGATAGCATCTAAAGCCGCGAATATAAAATATGTCTAAAGATATTTTCTATTATACCGTACCTATTCAATGTATAAAAACAATATTGGATAGACTATGTTTGAGCCAAAATGCCGTATTTACACAATTCGATTGCTCTCGATAAATAACGAATACTTTTTTCCACCCAGTAACATTATGAATCAATGAATTTTGAAACAGCTCAATAAAGCTTCTCCCCACACTTATTTCAGACTTCAAACTAACAATATAAAAATATATTAATTATAAGCCGGGTGTATGTAATTGTCCTCGGATTTATTAATATTTACTAAACTTTAGAAAACCAAATTTAAGAAGCTAATGAAAAAAAATATGATAATTTGAGTATCAACATTATCCGAAAACAAAACTTTACCAGAATCCATAAAAATATAGTTGTTAACATTTGAAAAATAAAGTTAATTTTACTATTAGTACAAATGCGTGTTCAAAAATTTTGAAATTGTCAAAAAAATTTTACTGTTGAAAATAAAGAAACACTTCTTTTTTGTTTTTTTTCGAAATCCGATATTATCGAACTATAACTATGCTAAAAAAACAGTGTAAAATGACATAAGAACACCCGGTATATTATTCTGGTATGGTTAACAATTAGGCTCCATTGTTCTATTGTGTCATTATTCTAGTAAAATTAAAAATTTGATACTTGGTCATAACAGTTTCACAGCTTTAATTATTACCTATTTTATCATTATAATTGTAATATTCTTTTTGTTATTTTTCATAATATTAATACAAACTATTTTGTAAAGTTAATTATTGATGTCTATGGGTCTTAATTTGTTAATGGCCTGGTGTTTTTTATCCCTGCTTTATGTTTTGTTTGTTTATTATTGCTCTAGCAAACTAGTTGGATTTTTTATTCAAGTTATGATATTATGACCTGATGTAGAGTTTTATAATTTAAAAATGCTCATATATATAATGTTCTTGACTTTATGTTTGATAATAATTTATAGGTTCTAAATCTAATCACACAATATAGGTTGGTTATGATTAAAGACCGG